AACAAAAGCACAAACTTTATCGCGAACTCTTGCTGCTCGGTGGCTGGACTTTCCGAATTTCTCTCCTTTCGTCTTCGCTTAAAGGAACTCCTTGAATAATTTGAAGTCAAATGAAGTTTTCTTCTTCGTGTTAGCATTTCCTTACTCCTCAGTGAACGATTTCATGTCAGCTTCAGTGAATTCACGAATCTATTGCTCGCCATTTTTCAACCGGTGTTTGGCAGCTTTGCACAAAAAGCCATGCAAAAGCGGGAAATGACGTCATCAATATCCTCACTAGTGAGGATATGGAAAATACGCCACTCGGGTCCCGGATGTAGTTTCGTATGAATTTTACGAGTGGTCTATTTTCCAGTAAAACACTCGTGTCTATATAATAAATTGAGTTATGCATGCACGCTCGCGCTATTGAAGTAGATAGCGTGATTTTGATGGGTATGTTATAAAAATATTTATTTATATTACCGACCAAAAATTTCTCCGTTAATAAACGGCAAAATGTTTCATCTGTATATAAGGATGCACCTAAAACTTTGCCGTTAATTAACAGCGAAATGTTTCATCTCATATAATATTTGGTAAATTGTAACCTCACTAAACAGCAGTTACATGGCGACAGCAGTAGCATTCGCTAAGATTTTGAAGCGAATCATGTTTGCAGTGAGTTCCACATGAACACCTACAATAAAGGTAAGAGAATAAGACAATTCTGCTCTGTTTAATTTTCACTGAGAACGCGAATAATACATTTCGTAGCCAGACATGACAGCAACCACGTTTGTTTACATTTACGCAATACTTGGCAACTTGCGACTCACCAAGAATCCACATGTTCCGTGCCGTCCAATCTTTTTTGGAGCATTCGTTCTAAATCTCATTTTCTTTAACTTCTTCGTTGTACATCTTTAGCCATTCTTCGTCCGCCAAGGGTTCATCAGCATACATATATGCCATTTCATTGAGGCTTTCATTGCTGTAGAGCGCTCTACAACAGCCTCGAACAGCCGACTTGATCTCATCTTCTACCTCCATGTCGTATTCCAGAATAAAACATATCTCAGTATCTTCGGAATCATAGTTGGACTCCGAATTTGTGTCGCTGCGAAGACATATTTCTTTGTGGATAAAATTGCAATAGTTATGAAGGCGCAAAGAAAAATAAATCATCCGAAGAAGTTTCTACACAATGTAAAGCCCTGACAAAAGTCTCTTGTCGCTAATCAGAACGTTCCCGGCGGTTTTTTTTACATCACAAGATCCCGACCCAGGACCCCAATATTGCGCGGTCGTGGGACATAAAAATTCCAAGATTTTAAACGGTCTGGACAGAAACGCGGCGGATTTTATACTTTTTGGCAATAATTTTTTCACAGTACGTTATCAGGATAACAAGGAGATTTTTTTGCTCCTTGCCTTAGCCTCTCATCCACCACAGCTCTCAACCTGGTAATAATCACTCTCCCATAACCTTTGCTGGTACAGGACATTATTGAGATACCCTCCCCAATTTCCATAACTCAGTCAAGTCACCCTTTTTTAATAGTTTGACGATCGGTCCACAACTCCAATCGTTCTGAATTCCCCATCCTCACCCTTCCATTTGGTCTTCATATTTTTGCATTCTAATCCTTTATAGTCTTATGATGATATAACTATTTTCCCCCTCTTGGTTTGCATTGCTTGTTGGTGCAATTAATACCTGTATCAACTGTTGTTATGATATACCTTGAATTGAGTCTGGGTCGTCACTATTCTGTCGCTTACGGGTTTCCAACTCAGCCATGTATTTACAGATTCAGTTCCCATAAATAATAGGCAACGTGAAACCCCACTCCAATGTTGGTCATCATTTCTGCCTGAATATACCATAAAACATTTTACTGTACTACCCAAAACCTGTCTACCGACACTTACTAATCCCCATGCATGTCATTCTGTTATCTTAGCCATTTCTCTGCACACCTGCACTCACTAGCACTGTCTTTCATCTCTATACATAGTCTTCACATTCCAACATCCTACTTGAGCATCTTTTTGGGGTGAGCCAATGTCCTTGTCAAGTGGCCCAGGCTAACCGGCATATTTAGACCTGCACCCGTCAAACTGCTGTCCTCACAGGCTATAATTTTAGGTATCGCCTGGAACACAGCTGGCCGTTGAGCTCAACCCAGTTGAAAGCGTTCTCATTCTCAATTTCCAGTTGAAATCCGTAATCATAACTTTTTTACAAGATTGAGGGGATTAGCCTCATGCGCCAACCCCCAACCTGTTGAGACCAAGTGTATCTTGTCGGGTGGTTCTGATAACATCATCATCATGGCAGGGCGATGATGATAAATTCCTGAGCTCCCCAATGAGAATCATGGGTTCCGATTCCCGTTGGGGAGCTCAGAATTTTTTCTTGAGTATTTCGACCTTGAGAAGCATTTCTTCATTTATTCACTTTATCCAAGTCACACCATTCCACTTAAGGCTATCAGCCACCCTTCAGGACCGATCCGCGCGCGGATCGCTGTAGTCATTAGTTGTTTTTATAAAAAACCCTATAAACCATATATTTTTTTTGAAAGTTTAATAATTCCAAAAAAAAAGATTATGGCTTTTTTAACTAAAAAAACGATAAACTTAAATGTGTTTTCGAAAATGGGAAGCTTTGTGTAAAAAGTTACATGTCTTTATAAATCATGTTCCACTCTCCTCCGGAAATATACAGAAGAAAAACGATTAACACCGTATTCGCTTCTCAAACACGTTCGGCCTAAAAAACCGTAGTCTCAGATTTTTTGACAAGTGCGTTTGTTTTTCTTTTTATTGGCAAATTTTTTTGAAAATGTTTTTTTTGGGAGTGACAATTAGTTAGCACTCCCTGTGGAAAAAAAGCTCGTAGCTTTTAAAATTAAAAGGAAGTATTAAAATTCGCAGACACAGTTGATAGAAGAGATGTATGTTCATCATTCTCGGCCAAATTTCAGCCAAATTGGTTTGAATGGCTGCCGACTTGGAGTTTTCAAAACGCACGCGTCGTTCGGGCAAAATTTTCCTTTCGAGATAAAAAGGAAAATGACTTTTTTCGGCATCTTACCTGGAATGAGATTATGGACACCAAAACACTCCTATTCCTGATACGATACCATAGAGGGATCAACTTCAGCGACTTTGCACAGGTAACATGTAACAGGAACAAGCGTTCGCGTAACGCTAACTCACGATAGCCAGGCGATAGCGAACAGAACCCGGTGCCTCAAATCAGATGAAACCGACGAGATCACAAAACGACTGTTGCTGTAAGAAATTAGATTAGCTGGGTAAGAAGTTCTTCTATCTTCTACAGTTATTTTTCAGCAAGGCATCAGTAATGGCGGAATATTGGAGTAAAATAAATGCACGCGGGGTCGCACGCTAGCAACTTGTGGCGCTGTGTTGTGTCGGCAGAATCAATTCAACCTGAAAATTAACTTTCAGGTAGTATTTGTACAGGGCGACTTCATTTTTGGCTTTTTAATGGATTTGATGGAAGTCACTTTGCTTTGACTCTGGAAGTGGTAGGAGAAACCTTTGTCGCTCGCTATGAAGCTCTATGAAATCGGCCACGCAGCGCAGGGACAATTCTTGTATGTAATTGGATAATGGGAAGATATGACCTGAAAATGTCAACCTAGCTTAATTTACAGAAAAATAATGAAGGAAATATTGTCATGTTCAATAACTTTCCACAGAAATAACATTTTTGAGGTAGAATGTTTTGGAAGATAAAAGCTCTTTGCGAGATCTACCAGAATTTCAAAAAAAAATTGAAAATTTTCACAAAATGTTAAATTTTGAAGGGTGGCTGATACCTTAACATTTATTCACATTTTCGCTTTGAAATTATTGAGGCATACGCCAGAAATTCCGAACGCGCGTGAAGCATTTAACCGTGACGGTCCTGTGACCGTTAAAAAGGGAAAATGGGCGGCTTACCAAACTTACAGAGATTCGTATGAAGTCGAAATAAAAACATGATTATATCTAAACCGTGGGGCGTAAAAAGGACATCTATCCCCATTAATATTGGGAGATACGACTTAAGTCGTCTCCTGTGAGGTTCTGCAAAACCGTGATATATCGAATATTCATTGCGGTTTTTAAGAAAATGTAGTTTTATAAGGACTAACACGATAAGACAGGCCATACAATTGGCTTACCTCTTGAGGTGACAACAAGCTAAATTCACTCCATGGCGAACTGACCATCTCCATGCCTTTCTAGATGTAGCCTATCCTTTCATCCCCAGACAGTTTTTGAAGTTCGAAGGTGTCTTTCGTATTTCCATGAATATTATAAAGACTTTGTAGCCATTGAAATCTTTGCGGTTTACGGCAGTATTTGTCGAGGAAAAATTGAAGCTAAAGGACGCCATTATTGAAGCGAAAAATCGGTTTGCTCCAGCGGCGCCTCATAGCAAAGACCAAAACAAAATTCAACTATACCGGAAAAACAGCCGCCAATTTTCCAAAACTTAGAATGAAAAAGGAGAAGAGACTGGGGTTCACAGAAAGGCTGTGCGTAGCTTAGCTTGTTTTGTCATTTAATTTATGCAACAGGCAGTCCGAAGGGCAGTTCACGATTGAGTCACGAAAGTAAAAAACATTTGCTCAATTTAACAGAATAACGCATGTCTGGCTGGTAAAATTGATCGTGGAAAGCGAGCTTAAAGTACTCTTGAATTTGGTGACTTTCGTTTCCACATTGGATTTTGTCGATTGCTTTCTTTGTGGACGCACAGAAAGCTAAGAATATGCCTCTCATGCAGGAATCCCGCTGTGACAACAACTTGATCTGGAAAACGTGGCGCGAACGTAACTGACCAATCGTGCGTGTCTTCCACGCGTGACTACGGTGCAGGAGAGTTAACGCAAGCTAATTTTGGTTCGAAATTTCTGGCTGATGGGCCTTGCAGTATGGCAGGACTATATCTGTCACATATTGGAACCTAGTTGTATGGCCTTAATCACCATGAATCCTCCAATTTAGCTCAGGTGGTTAGAGCGTCCAACTGGCACCTGGAAGGTCATAGGGTTTCGATTCCCGCTGGGGAGCTTCAGAATTTTTTTTCTGACGTATCCTTTTTCTTCCACAAAATCTTTCTTGGTGGACCAACAACATTTTTAGTCTTCAAATCGTGATTGTGTAAAATATTCTAAATGCAGTTAATTATTATGAAATGGTGGTGTTCTACAAAATCTTTTGGCCAAAGAACCAAAAAAAAAAAGAACATTCCCGAAAATGTATTTTATTTCGCCTCGTTGTAGTGTAAACAATATACAGTGTTTACCGCCACCCAAATTCGGAATTACCCAATCAGAAGCTCTGTCTACTGACCTGAGATCCTACGATATCAAGTCACTGACCTGATATCCACCAATAATCATGTCACTTTGAAATCAAGCAATAAAATTCTGCAGATTAGAGCGTGAATTTTTCTACATGATGCAAACCTTTTGCGAAATTACAGTCAAACTTAAAACCAGAAAAATGTTGGACGAAGTGAGTAGTTTCGAGGAAATTTGCGAAGTAAAACTAAGCTATAATTTTGCGCGCCAAAAACGCGGCTGCTGGGGGCACTAAATGCGTTTGCGTCTCCTGAGCCTCGATCGATCGCGGTTGTTTCAAAACTCGTCTCGTTTGGGTCTCGCCATGGGTATTTTGGCTCGACTTAAACGTTCTTCGCCCCAAAATACAAACTCGATCAAAACTCGCCTGAAATATGCAGCCGAAGTGTACTAAAAGGTACGATTAGGATATAAAAACCATAACCTATTTTCAAAAATGCAAAGATAATAATGTTTCCATGTTTATAGTAATTGGTTATGTAAATATTTACAAATATTAGCTAATGGAAAATTTCTGCTAATGAGAACATTTGAAAGGAGCAAAGAAGAACGGGATTTTTCTGTTGTTTTCACGGATTGTTGAAAGCTGTTTACGAAGCTAGTTATGGTACGGTATTTCTTTAGCTTTAAGGAGGATTCATAGTTTTGATTATAAATTTCACTGTCCGTAGTTTGGAGCTCCGAAAAAAATTATTGCGTCGTATTTTAAGAAACTGTGCGTGTGCGCACTCATTTCAAGTGCTGCCTTTCACGACAAAATACCTTACGTCCTCTTTTATTTGAGATGTTATTGTATTACCAGACTCTCCCGACATTTTTGCGACACGATTCTAAATCATTCCGGGAACGAAACACTATTTCGTTTTGAAATAGCTTTCTCGTTGATTATTCAAGCTCGTTTCATCAGTAATACTCAGGTACCCAGCCATCATTTTTGCAGTCGGAAAAATTATTTTAACACCATGATTGCTAGTTTAACAAGACGTTAATTTGAGGAGCCGACCAATGTGTAGTTATTTACTGCCCATTGAGTTATAGACATCGCTTGTGGAATTAATTTATGTAAAAAAGTCAATCAGTTAACTCCTTTTGAATATTGTTTTTCTTCCGAGTATTTTTTGTGATTGACCTTTCGTGTTTAGTTTCATATTATCATTCTTTCTTCTCATTGGTTCTAGATTGTTCCATTATTACACTCTTAGACTTACATTCATGCTAACACCATAGCACATGTTTTTGTGAATAATCAACTTGTTACAAATAACCAATGGGCATATCGAAAGGGTCACTCGACAGAGCTTCTATTGACTCACTTGACTGAAACTTGGAGATGAGCTGTTGACGCTAGACTCGTTGTCGGCGTGGCCTTTATAGATTTCCAGAAAGCATTTGACAGCGTTTCCCATAGGATCCTCATTTCACAAGTTAGAGCATAACTTTGGCATCAAAGGCAGTCTACTAGCATGGCTGATGGACTATCTGACAGAAAGAAAGCATCGTACGATGGTCAACGGTGTGGCGTCTGACTATGCTAAAGAACCGTTCAGTATCCCACAGGGTTCCGCTCTAGGGCCAACACTCTTCACATTGTACACAAGCGATTTACCTGATGCCATTACCTCCGGATCAACTTATATGTATGCAGATGACAACACAATTTATTGTATAGGGGACTGTGTGGATGAGGAGTACAGCAATGCTCAACAAAGCTCCAGACGAGCTAACTCAATGGTGCAAACACAACTCCCTAATCCCACACCCCAGGAAGTGCGAGGCCATGATTCTCCAACGGCAAGATTACACCGGTCCTTTGAACGCGTTAGCACTTGGTAAACATACAAACAAAATGGGTGTCCCATTCAAGACTTTTAGGTGGAACGGTTGACAACAAGCTCACGTGGTCGCGACATATCCAAGAAGTTAAGAAAGGATTTGCTAATAAGCCCAACCTGATAAAACGGAGTAGCTTTTTACCTCGTAGCATGTGTGTAGATTTGTATTTTAAAATTATCTTGCCGTCAATTACATACGCAACTTCAATTTGGGGTGGGTGGTGTACAAACAGGGAAGGTAAATTTTAAATCATTAGGAGTTCCCTACACACGGACAGAGCTGCCATGGTTATTTTTCGCCATGTACCATCGGGATATGCCCCGAGAGGAGGTACTTGAAGAAGTGGGGACTCGCCCTTTTCATCTTGTATAAGCTAAAACTAAGTACATTAATTTTTATTAATTTATACAATAATGTAACACCACCGGTTTTGTCGAGCATTATAACCACAAATTGCCTGACATTACGTACAGTGTACACACCCACGGAGTCCCCCATAAACTTGTTTGTCCCACCCTTCGCACCAACATACTACATGAATAATTCAATAGCACTATATAGGGATCTATCGCAAGGGGAACTCCACCTTTATGTAGATTTATAGCACCAAGAGGATATCGCAAAAAAGTTAAGGCATCGAATATACTTAACAAAAAGTAGATTTTAATAGTGAGTCACCAAAAACCATCGGGAAACTGGATGACAGTTTTATTAGTTTATTGACTTTAATACTATTTTGACAAATTTTCTGACGTCTTGTAAGTAATTTAATTTTTTATTGCCAAACGAGGGCAGCTGAGCACCAGAGCGAAAAGCTGCCGAGGCGGCCATTCAAAATTTGTAGGTGGGCAGAAAATGTATGAAAATCGAGTGGGAGTTTGTAATTCCATTATTAGGGTGTAAGGTTGAATTACCCCATATTTTGGGGGTAAAAGTTAATAATAAATACCCCGAGAGCTCGAGAAATAACCCCATTAGTTGGGAGTAAAGGAATACCCCATATGTTCCATATAAAAACAGTGTCTGGTTTTCGCTGGCATGAGCCGGCCTTTCCGTCCGCCAAGGCTTGTAATGGTCAGGATCGAGTCGAGTAGCGAGGGAAACGGAACAGGTTCCGATTTTGTATCTTTTTATTCATCGGAATTCGATGTTGCGGTCACGTCAGATTAGTTTGCTTTTTAACAATGTTCCACCAAAGCGCGTTGATGACATTGTTTTCTTTTTCATCCTGAATTCAGTTCGCTTTTCTAGGAATGAGTCTCCTGTTTAATATAAATGAGCACTCGGGTATGGGTATTTTTTTTTCCGAACGAAATCGGAAGTCGCGAAGGATTGTCCATTATAAAACGACGATCTCGGAGATTGAATGCTACGATTAACAAATTATCGGGAAAAGATAGACAACATATTTAAAAATGCGTGAAATGTTACCGGAAAATTACCGATACAAAACGACGATGGTGTTTAAAAAAAAAAAAAATCCCACGATTTGTTAAAAAAAAAAAGCGCCGACCACTGATACAGTGCGAAGTTTCTTGTAGGTTAACCCACAGAGACCGGCTCATACTATACGGTTACCGTGTCCAAAATGTGTATAAAAGTAAACTTTATTTTCGAAATTTCGCTCGCTTCGACGTCGGCGTCTCGCGATCGCGCGCGGACGGCTATAGATAAAATATGGGCGGAACTGGGATTACAATCTTGTTGGTGAATGTAAACGAAACGGAAACATTGAACGCTTATCCACATTTTCCTGTGGACTACTTTTTGCAGGGTTTAAAAGGTTTATTTTCAAGTAACTTGCTTTCCGTGAATGAAGAAAATATTATTTTCTCTACCATTCTTTCGGTATTCTATGAGTGAAATATACATATGTGTTGAAAACTTTTTTTCGAAGGAAAACGCGCTTCACCCGCCGCTCCTCGACTGTTTGTATGTCGCGGTTCAACATTCTGTCCGGCATTGAACATTGGCGAGTCTTCCCTTTCAGTGAAATCAAACTCTTTTATAACGCTATGAACTGATGAAGAGTGGAAATGATTTCCTCGTAATATTTGTGTTATCTTGTCATCAAATAAACTGGGGCTTTTCATGTTGTCTGGGTAATGTCTCGGTACAAAGTATTAACAATTAACGTACTATTGGATCATATATTTTTGAAGCTTTCTGTCAATTATTCGCTCCTCTATTGTCGTTGGCTCTCGTTAGTGGTAAACTATAACTAGTATACATCGATATATGGGATTTTAAACTTTTGCCGTAACACAACGCCCAGCAAGCTCATGCTTTAAAAACCAAATCGTGTAATAAATAAAAAAGTCATTGTATTGTATTGTAGCGATAGGGTTTGGCTTAACATTTTAATGTTTAAGCCGCACACCAACAATCACAACTCGCAACAGAGGATCAGTAAAACAATCGTTTTCAACATGATCACCCTTTTCTAACAGATAAACCAGATATGGTCACTTTGGTAGACTAACACAACTGAGAACAAAGACTGTTTTGGGATTTTTGGGTGATGTTTCCCTTGCATCTCATCTGAAGCCAATCACTCACCAGTTTATCACTATCAGCTCTTCGAAGATGGAAAAGGATTGAATTTTTAGCTAAGCATAGTGGAACGTGGATAGAGAAGATGTTCAAGGTGATGGAAAAGTTATTTTACACCAATTGTGTGGCTTATCAACTTGTGAGAAAACGTAACCTGCCACAAACTAATGTCACTCGGACTGTGAATGGTAATTTTTAGTTAATGGACAAGACAACACTAAGCACATACATAGTGGATGAGCTGACGAATAAAACGAAAACAGTCTTCTATACATATGTGATTTCTTCACAAAACAATATAGATTCCTTGTTCCCATGGA